TGTGAAAGTTGAAGTTAGAAAGTCTTTCCTGAAATAATCAACACGTCGTCTTGAATTGATGAACATGGCACCGTGTGGATGAATCCAGACTTTTCTACACTAACAGTTTGATAACTGCACTTTGGATGTGCTGATCGCGCTCACAACAGACAATGCTGCTTCTGTGTACACGGCAGCTTCCAGAAGCTCTGGATTTCACTGGCAGCTATTTAAGCACATTTCCCTCAGCTGAGCTAATTTTTTTGGTAACACTACTACAGTACAGTACATCCAGGCAGTTGCAAACGCACGTAACGAGGGTTCGGCATGCACAGACATGCAAACTTGCTGCTGAAATCTTGGCAGCAGCTGCTTAGCAGCGGAGACGCTGAGGGAGCTTGTTGCTCGTTGGCCTTTTTTCTTTGTTTTCACTGGATGATTGTGCAACTGCAGGAAGGAGAGGAATCTGCTGACTGCTATCCATCCACTTCCCGTTCCTCACCCCAGGGTGCAGCTGTGTGTTTTTGGAGCCTGTGGAAATGGGTACAGGCTGCTCCCAGGATGTGCTGCTTGGTGGCAACTGGGCTGGTTTTGCATTCCAGAGTGCGCCATGGACAGACAAGCTTCCCTCAAAGTGTTTACACTGACAAACTACTGCGACACATTTGTCACGTAAAAGAGTGTCCAAGTGTCAGTGACGCACATCGACAGTGTGTACACGGGGAAGGGCTGCTGTGCTGCTGCTCTGTGTTACATAACAGCCTACATGTGTTTGACAGGTAGTTAATGCATGTCCCCGGGAGACACTAATGATTTGCACTCAACTGAAAATAGGACCACGTGATGATGTGCTGCATGGTGAGATGTTCTGAAGCAGAGCATCATGTGATTAGCAGGAGCAGAAAGCCTCCGATTGTATTCCCTCCCCTCTGATGGCGCCAAGAACATTTAGAATCTTGCATCTGAGCAAAAAGCATCACAACAGTAACAATAAAGACGAAAATGGTTGCATTTATATTAGGGCTGCCACAAACGATTATTTTGATAGTCGACTAGTCAC